TTCTTAATCTATGTTCAGTCTATTAATTATTATCTCCCTCGTTCACAGCCACTTTTTGGCTTATTTATTTATGGTGCGTTGTGGTCTGTCTGGTTGATATATAAACCGAGTATATTTGAAATAAACGATTCGATTCATATTACAGAAGCTGGTATTGTGTTCTGGACTCAAGTGGAAGGGCTCGGAGGACGCAGGACCAATAAGGACGCTAAACTGCACACACCGGTTGAACGTCATTGGTTGGCCTAGTGTGAAGATTCGTATACGTCGTATTCGGATTGGTAAATAATTCGTGTGATAGAAAAAGACAGACATACCAAGGTTATAACACACTTCACCTTTTTGTTGCAGCAAATTTGTTACCTGCTTTCGAGTACAACAACCTGAAATATATTTTTATACACTTACTTGTGGAGAGTTTAGCTTTCATAGTCTTTACATCAGCAGCGGTGACCACCTTACTTGTTTTCTCCTTGACACTTTCTATAACTTCATCTGTTGACCGGAACTACAAAATGACTGGCTTCAAATTCTCTTTCTCTTCCGACGACAATCTTCTTGTCCATGGACCACAAACCATCCATGAACTACTACATGGATGATTGTGGAGCATCTTGTAGGATTTGATGACATATGCTTGCTCCTCCAGTCTTACAAGGAAATTTGATTGGCAATTAAGGAATTTAGACCTTAAACGTCGGATATTAGTTAAAGTTCCCACGGTTTTCCATTCACTTTCAAACATTCCCAATTACGCTTACGACCAGATGCACAGTGAAACGTAACGAACAGTTATTTAAACCTGACATCCTTCAGCAACTTACTTTTCGTGTGGATGTATTGAGTATGGGTAGCCTGAGAAGCGATAAAATGATTCATCCATACTTTTTGGAACTCTTTTAGCGCACTATCTAAGTCATCCCAGCATGTGAAACGCTTGTTCAGTATCATACTTTGAAAAGCGTCGCTAATGTCCACTGAAATGTCACTTGAGCATGAACCACTACAAACAGAAATCATTAATTATAAAAAAGCTATTCCTTGAAACAATAATAACCCAAGGAAGTACTACAAATATTTAAGATTTACCGGTGACTTGACATTTCGTTGAGGTTTACTACAGCAGTTGAGATCACAGATCAAGTTACGAAGCAACAACATAGCCAACATGTACACTACAAAACAGAGAACGCTAAATTAATGCTTTTGGCAGTTATTTTATGCTCTTTAATGCAGCAAAAGATTACCAAAATATGAGAAAACTTGTTACACATGCAACCCAACAAACCTACGGCAAGTGAAGTACGGAATCACCGCGTGTTGTCAGGCCGTTCAAGGTCGTTGAAACGAAAGAGCGGGCAGCTTCGAAAGGCTCTGGCGTTCTTCCCATGCCATAAACTATTATCAAGTTTAGACACAGTTATCAGCTGTTATTTGCACTATCGTATATTGTAATTATTCTGTATATTATTGTTACAAGAAGCTTGTTTTCATTTCAGACTTACAGACATGGCAAACTCCACAGATACCTCACAAATTGAGGTTTGTAGCTAATTAATGTATATTACTCAATAAAGAACCACTTTTCTAGGCAAATCTCTATTTCGCGCGTATCTCAATTGTGTAATCATATGAATCGATAGATTTAACAATATGTTAATCAGTAATTATAAAAATTATTATCAAAGTATTAAAATTATATATTATGATATATATTTATGATACTTCTTAAAGGATAAGCAGCTACTTATACTAAGTGGCTGTTTTTAACAACTACATAACCATTCTAACAGTTTTAAGTAATAAGGAAGTTTGTACAAAGTTCAGGATATATATATATATATATATATATATATATATATATATAGTGTGTGTGTGTGCATGTATGACCAATCAGTTTATGAAATCAAGTGGCCACTTTTCATTGAAGAATTTCGGCACTAATTTACGACATAATAAGTCATCTATGTTTGTTACTATGGCAAATAAACAAAATAGACAATGATCTACCAAAATATATCAGTATAGAAATTATACTAAACAAATTGACATACATCATTTAATTTTAAGTCTCTATATTTAAATTATATTTATTTTATTATGAACAATGTTATTTGCCTTCAGTTATTTTAATTAAATGTAATCACATTAGATCTTTGTTTGATTACCATAATGCACATATATTGTAACCTGTCCAAAAATTGTATTGTTCGTTCAAATTATATAAAGGAGCATAATGATGTTCATTTTAAAGTTGGAAAATTTGTTTTTTATTTGTTTTTTTTCCAGTTGACTAGTTGTTCCGTAAATAGGACTCTACGTAACCTATAAGAACAATACATACAATTTATAAGGATTCAGCTGTATACATTGTTGTACAAAGATGTGTTTGATTTGGTTGTTTCTAACTTATGAAAATAAAAGACTGAATAAAAGATTTATTAGTAAAGGAAAGCTGTGAGCGCAATTTTTTTAAGTTTAATAATAAAAGTAAGAATGTCTCCAGCTAACTACAAATAAATTCGGACTACAATAATAATTTATGGTGTTTGGCTTTATACAGTTCATTAACCAGAATATTATTGCATAATACTCATGAGTTATTTTTAAACATTTGTATTATTCCCTTGGTATTGTTTTACTTGTATCTTTCCATATGTGCATCCTACGTGGATTGCCACGATATAGCCTCAAGTCACAAGCTTTTTAAGCAAAGATGAATGGTGGCCAGAAAAGGAATTCAGGCGTACGTCTCGTCCTACTTGAGACTCATCAGCCGGATGTACCCGCATCCCAGAGTTGGTATTGTTTTACTTGTATCTTCCCACTGTTATTTAGGACTACGATTGATCAGTCTCATGTTGGCATATGTGCATTTGGTGTTTGAAGAGGATGTACCGGGTTCGAGTCCCGAAGTGAACAACAACTCCAGGATGCATGTACATCCAGCCGACGAGTCCCGAATAAAACGAAACGCGCATCCTGGATTCTACTACTAGCCACTATTTGTCTCTGTCTTATTGCGTTGTTAATAATCATAATAAAATTTTGATCCATCCTGATTCGAGTTTTGGAATGAATACAAACAATAATATAGACAGGAATTCAGATAACTAGTACCTAAACAAGACGAAATTCTTTGTAATTTATTATTATCTATGATTCAAATATTATAAAACTCACAGGGTAGTTTAATTCTGCCGTTTTATGAGAAAATTAGCTAATTTTTCTAGACTTAATACATATTATTTTGAATAATATGTAGGTTATTGAAAATCTTTGACTTAATTTGTAATCTATTACACTTACGAATATTTTGAAATTTATTCTCAAATACACTATACAACTTCATTTTGATTAGATAGAACTCTAATGTGACATTGCACACTGCTAAAGCTATTGCAATTCATGTTCACAAATCAAACCTTTGCATCCAAAAGAAGTTTGTACAACCACTCTTGCAACTTTGGCCATTGGTATAAGGGTGTTTGTAGCAGAACTTTGATAATCTATTTTCGTATTTCTTACATTTTTTTGTACTTTTTGTATTTTACTTATTCTCAACATTCGTCTTTTGTTTCTTACATAACTACTATACTACTGACCATTCGTCAAAATATTTTGTAGTTCATTCTTCCCATTTTATGTATTATGCAACGTGGTAATTGCTTGATTTTCGAATAATTACTTTGATCTTTCGAGGCGGGATCGTGGATGCACACTGCTGAGGAGTCCCATAATAGGACGAAACGGCCGTCCAATGCTTCCAGGTTTTGTATGGTGGTCTAGCTTCAATTGACTCATAATCTCAACTATTAAAAAATTACTAAAATATCCACAAAACCCCTTCTGATACTTTGATTATAATTAATCCTCTTTCAATTACTCAATGTTAGTTTATAGTCGATATGTGATTATATAATTGTTACGTAACTTATCCACTCGATGAGTATTATTTCATTATTAGTGTGGAGCTATGATGAAAAACTAATTGAAAAGAAACTTCTTCACTCAAGTCGTTTCTTCTTTCTTTACCAGATAATTTTTGGTTTGCTCATTCACTGTTAACTTTAGTAATGAAATCTCGAATAGTTGATCATTTTTGTTTCATTGCCGAATAAATAACTCTATTACTGAGGATTGAACTCAGAACTTTCGGTTTAGCCGTGAAATGCTTAACTTCAAAGCTATTGAACTCGTATTCAATGGTGTACATGTATAATTCCAGTCAGCTTATGAAATCAGGCGGCCACCTTTCAAATCGTGGGGTGAACAATTATGCTTGAACTCTACCGGTCATAACTTCTGTACAGAATTCCAGGAGTCACATTTTGAAACTAGACATCAGTCAACTCAAGATTTAAAATATGAAAATTCTATAGTCTCAATAAACCCCACTCTACCAATAAACTTTTATTTACGGATTTATTATTTCTATTAATTAGTAATGAAATGGTCGTAATAATGTCACTTATATAGTTCTAACTGGAATGCAATTATAATCCATATTTCAATTCATGAACTATTTGAATAGAGAGGGTTTTTTGAATGAAACGGATAATTTCTTTTGTGATTTAGTAGAGTGAATATCTAGCCATTGTTCATGCTAACAATGAAGAAGTTACAATCAGTATGTATACTGTTTTTCTCATGTTTTTTCTGAATGCTGTCTTCATTTCTTCCTTGAATAACATAATGAGCTTCTTTCGTTGTAATTACATTCACTTTTGTAGTAAAATTCCGTTAAAGTTTATGAAATAACATTCAAGTTACACAATGATATTTAAACTATGACAACCTAATCCTCAACTATCAAAGATGATCTACACCACTTTCACAGTGAGCAAGTAAACTTAAAACCTCATTGACATCTATGGCATAAGATCTATAAAACCTTAGATTCGGAGGTAATGAAGTAAGTTTAAGGTGTATGAATTCTATTTATTTTATAATTGAAATATATAGTATGTTGTTGCTTTACCCTTATTAAATTATCGTTAAAAGAGATTTTATTTTTTCTAAGCTCATGTATAGAATCTAGATGTACAAGGAGAAATATGTAACACGCATCGTACACTTCAATTTGTTTACGTTTAATTTTGTTAAGTCCTTCAATAAACTTATCTAACAGACAGTATTCTTCGTGCAGCAACAATTTGCATATTTTGGCACTATTACCATGTCCGTATGAATATGTATGCTTGATTACATGTGAAAGCCTAGACACATATCCCATGTAATTTGTTTAAATGTTACTTGCTTTAATCGCTTGATGAATCGTTTATTTTCTCATATATGTGTATTTATATCTTATCCATTTATTGGTCTTTCATTCTATTCTTTATCCGATTCTTAATTCACATATGTATTCACTCGCTCGCATTAACATTTCTGCTCAAATTCTCTTGGTGTGTTTGTGACCTAGTGATCTGTGTTATTCAACAATAATCTGTAGTCGGTGGTTCGTGTTGCCTCCGGCAATTTATACACCGTTGAGATTCAATGACAGTTATCAGGGCGAGTGATATAAGTAGTCCAAGGAATCGTCTCAAAGATAATCCACTACAAATGAAATGAGGGGAAATTTATTGTTTAAAAGAAAGAATTGGATTAAGTTGAGTGCTCTGTGCTAAATAGTTTAATTTCTAGAAACCATTTTCAGTACAAACTTCAGAAAGAAGTATCCAAAAAAATTTCTTCATGAGTAGCTAACATTTTGTTCTATCGATTGTTTATTGTCAACGATTTTCCTATCATTGCCCACAAATTCATTTTTACCTTCCTTAATTCATCCGTTAGTATAATAGATATAACAAACACATTTATTTTTACTGCGTATGTCAGTGACCATCTAAAACCAGCTGGTTAAGTATATTTACATCAGTAAATTGTAATAAATAGGATTAGTCCCAATTCATAGTGATTCGATAAGACTTACCAAGTTCAATGGTAATATTTGACAAGGAACAACTATGAACGTTTAACTATAATTGTTATTGTATAACTATATGAAAGTGAAGATCGTTTTTGAATTCATGAATATACAACATATTTGAAACATGATGTTCATTTAACGAGTAAATAAAATGTAATTAGGGAAAAAAAGACATTGAATGAAATATAGCTTAAAAACATGGAGGGACTCGAACTCTTGCCATCAAAACAATCGAATATGTGAAATTCGACACTCATGGATGAAAATACTATTCATTACAAATACCATCGATATATTCATTATTATCTTTATTCAAATTAAGTAGTTAAACTCTAGAAAGATTATAAACCTCGAAACTTACACACAATAAACACAGTGAATAATGCATAAATCTTCTCAATATTTATTCTAGTAGAAAATTGTCGAAACAAACATCTTTAAAGCAATCAGTCCCTTTGATAAATTTCGATCATGTAATAAGAAGACGAAGATTATCAGAACTATGTGATGGTATATTAGTGGAATATATTTCGAACAATCTGATCACACATTATTATTATTATTATTATTATTATTATTATTATTATTATTATTATTATTATTATTATAACCCTAGTCACGTCTTACCCCCATTTTCAGTCTAGTTGACCTTTAATCTTTATATATAAATGTTCTTAACAAGTACATTATGTGTGTGATCAGATTGTTTGAAATGTATTGCTCTAATATACCATCACATGGTTCTGATTATTTTTGTCTCCTTATTACATTATCGAAAAACATCTTTAAATAAACTAAATGCTTTACTGAATTATTTTGTACTATGCTCTACATATTAAAGAATCATAATTATTTGAAGTGATAGTTTTTTATTCCTATCCATAACACAACCTTTAATACTGAATTTATCACATACTGTTTGAATGTTATTTATAATCTTTCAATGGAACAAACATTTTAAGTTATATTTTCAACAAGGATATCTATTAAATAACTGAAAATAACAATATAATATTCAGAAGGGGTCCTATCGTGGGACTCTTCAGCAGTTCTCATCCACGATCCTGCCTCGCGGGATTCGAACCCGAGACCTGTCAGTCTCAACTGTTGAAATTACTACAATCTCTACAAAACCCCTTCTAATACTATTTAACATATGCTCGCTAGTGACTGGCTTCAAGAGGTATATCCTAGAAATTTTTAGTGAGAAACAGTGACCAGTGGAGTTCAACCGGGTCAGTTGTGAGGTAGTAACTCACTGATGACAATGGTGGATGTGTCGCTCAATTTCGTGGATTAGTTGAAGTTAGACATTAACACCATTGGATGCCGACTCAGTGGTCTAATTGGTTAAGCGCCTGGAGAGAGACTGATAGGTCTTGGGCTCTAGTCCTGGGAGGCGAGGTCGTGGATGCTCACTGTTGAGGAGTTCTACAATAGCACGAAACCGCCGTCCAGTGCTTCTAGGTTTCCCATGGTGGTCTAGCTTCAATTGGCTCATGATCTCAAATGTTGAAATATAATATTCAATACATTTTGTATTGTTCATCTGAATCTTCCCATTGGTTTTTAGGACTGCAATTAATTAGTCTCTTATTGATATATGTATGTCCTGTACAGATTGCCCTGATATTAACTTAAGTCACAAGCACTACAAACAAAGATGGATAGTCGCTAGCAGTGGAATTCAGAACGCGTGTTTCGTCCTATTTAGGACTGGTCAGTTGGATGTACCTAAACTCCGTATGCAGTTATATCCAGTGCGTTATGGATTCCACTGCTAGCTATTATCCATCTATGCTTAGAATGTAACATTTGTTTACTGGAAATTCATCACCGCCTAAATTAAGTTAAATATTAAAGAGTTGCATGTAGGATATAAAAAATTGAAAAATTGTTTACAAATGCATACTGAATAGGGAAAAGATATTATTAACTAAATGTTCTTCCCAAAATTACTCTTAATTGGATGAGATATTAGTTGATCAACTGTTCTATATGTAGGATATATACATTGTAGTTGTAGTATCTATGTTCAATAGTCATCTTTCCTACTTTTATACAAGCAAGGTTTACTCCGTAATGTCAAATATAAATATATGCAAATGAAAAAAAGATAGACTATTCAGTGTGGAGTATGTACATAATGTGTACTCTATACATTTATAAGAACCGTATATGAGCCTAATAATGTTAATAGCTCTGATAATTTTTTTTCCAAAACAAACATCTACATCAATATGCGATTCAAAATTGCATCGTACGACTTTATGTTAAAAGTAAAGATCAGATCAAGCCTATAAGACTTACTCTTTAACAAACATCATCATATATGAACAGATAAGATTCCTACTTCTACACAGACCCAAAAAGCAGGTAAACATTTACGTAACATTTTAGATGGAAAGAACGTTTAAGTAAATAAGCTAAAAGTTGTTGTATCCTATGCCCCATCAAATATCACATGAAAAAGTCACCAATCAAAATACTGGTTCATATGACCTTGTTCCTTTGCTAAACCAATGACACGTCAAGCAGAACCACCAGTCTTGAAACAACTCTGTATCCTTATTGGTCCTAGATGTGGTAGCTTATCGCCTAGTCCAGCCCGTTCAGTTTAGATCTTAATCTCAGCTTCCGCTGCATGAATCACATTTCAGATATATGTGGTTCATATATGAGTAAACCAGACCTCATGAAGCCAAAAGTAACTGTGAGTGTGGGATACTGTAACTGATAAACTGGGAATAAGTTAAGAATAGTAAATCGTATAATAATAGCCCATAGGCCAAATCGAATCTTGTGATAAAAGGTATATATATTCCAGTCACTTATTAATTATCCAAAAGGAATATATTTAATGATAATCCATAATTAATTTCTACCAGTTCATTTATTTTTCGTTCCGGTAAAACAAAAGTATTACTAATTTTTCAATATTAGTCTTTCTTATTCTTCTGTTAGATGATCATCCGATTCAAACAATGATATGCATTATTCCTATATACAAGTCCAACCTATTACTCAAGTATGTAGACACGAAGTGAAGAGGTGGATTTACTAATAAACTGAGTTAAAGTGCTACCAAACTCATGTAAGAAATGAAGTGGATCGTAATATAAGGAATTTACAAGCTTATTCTGAAATCTTACATCTTATGAACTAAGTTTCTCTGTTTTTTCACTTATCCATCATGAATATTCACGTAGTTGATTATGTAATAGATCACCATCTCTTTAGATGATTTAACAATACAGTTGATTGAAGTGGAAATAAACTGACCTACATACATTGAATTCAGTCTATATCCCATCAATATTGGTCACACCTTATAATAAATATATTTTTTAAAATGATAAACTCAATCTTTAACTTAAATTACAAAAATTAAACTCTACAAAGGTGTTCGTCTCACATAACTAAGGTTGATATTTCTCTTAGAAACTACTGATTTTAATATTCCTAGGCTCTAAGGTTTATTTATTTGAATGGGGTTGGGGGAATTTATGAAAATAGTAGATTTTTTATAGTTTAAATAACGAACTGATCTTATTGAGATCAACATTAAAAATCAAGCAGCATTGTGTTGTGATTGCTCATTACTAAGAAGTTCTATACTAGGAAGAAACAGCTGTCTAATACTTCCAAGTTTTTAAAGATAATGTAGCTAAAACCAGTTCGTGATTTAAATTATAGAAGTGATTTATTTCATCAATAGAATATATTATTATCGTGGATGGGCACTGCTGAGGAGTCCCATACTAGGATGAAACGGCCATCCAGTGCTTCCAGGTTTCCCATGGTGGTCTAGTTTCATTTGAATCACGATTGACTCAACTAGTGAGATTATATTACTGTTTTGATTCATTTAAGTTTACACAGATTTAAATCATGAGTCAGTTGAAGCTAGACCACCATTGAAAACCTGGAAGCATTGGACGGCCGTTTCGTCCTAGTATGGGACTCCTCAGCAGTGCGCATCCACGGTCCCGCGCCACGCGGGGCTCGAACCCAGGACCTACTGGCTTCGCGCGCGAGCACTTAACCATTAGACCACTGAGCCGGCATCCAACGGTGTTAATGTCTAACTTCAACCAATCCACGAAGTTGCGCCACCATATACCATTGTCTTCAGTGAGCTGATATCTCACAACAGACCTGGTTGTACTCCACTGGTGACGGCTTCCCACTAGAACTCCAGGAGTATCTCTTTACCCAATGCCTAATAAATAATACAACTTGAGGGCAAAAATAATAATGAATTCTTAAGAAGTTTATTAATTCATTTGTTTATAAAATGTTTAAAATATTAAATAGGATAAATCATGATGATAACCGTTGTTAAGATACCTAATGCATTGAAATGAATTGAACACAGTAAATTACTTGAATAAATTCAATATTAAACGGATAATATGTATGTATCATCTTTTGTTTCTTGACGAGCCAATACTTCCTATAATGAAATATATATGGATATATAATTTTGTATTTTGTAGAAATATTAAAGGTATATAATTCAAACGAGGGATCCTTTTTGTAACGAATTCATTATCAAGCTTTTCATCTAACCAACTCATATTGATGTTTTGTATGTTGGTAATCTTAACATTTACACTATATAACATGTGGTGGAGTTTCGTTCACTGAGCTGTAGTATTTAATCGTGGAGCTTTGATTATTCTTCCAAACATCCTCATCAGTGCAAACTTCTGGTAGAAGTGAGGTACTTGAATTTTTCTATCTACAACTGATGGTTAGTTCTGTCAACCTTGATTTTTATTAGTTACTGATGACCTTTAACCTGTCGTTGTTTACATAGTTATTTTGATTGTTTCTCTCTTTGATCTGATTCTCGACCCCATGGTTGTCCCCGATATATATAATTTGCTAACAAGTTGAAGCGTTTTTATGTGTTTACTGATTTCTGATTGATCTGAGTGTCAAGATTTTGAAAATTCTGTGGTCTTGTTAGTATTCTCTCTATCCAAAATCTCAAGACTTTCCTAATCGAGCATATATCCACAATTATCTCTATACACTGATGAAAACAGAGATACATCATGGAATTAAACAGCTAGTAGATGTTCATGAAGATGTAAATGAAAAGGGTGGCCACTTTATCAGTTATAATATTTATCGCATTGGGAACAGTTTATTTTGTAGATGATTTTCTTGCCATTTCATCCTTTGATTTGATTGAAGTAATTCTGCTGAGTATTAAAGTCCTTCTACTACACTACCAGATCTATTATTTGCACACAATTTTGCAAGGATTTCGACCTTAAAACTCCATATATATAACGATAGTAAAAACAGTGAATAAATTTATAACACAGCACACAAGTTTAACTTTCACTCATCAATAAACTTACTTTGTCTATTGATTCATGCTTATTCTCTTCTTCTATTAACATTTCAGACGTTTTCTAACGAAAGAAAAGGAACATAGGAAACATATGTATTCCTTGAAGCTCTTTTTATTCAAATAAGTTGACTTAAATTCATTATTGTTATGATTTCCTAAGAGTTCATCAAATCATTCGATACTGTATTATTGAGTAATTCTAATGTCAACTATTAAAATGAGATTTTTTTAAAAATAATCTACTGGTAGTAATGATACTAAATTAAATCCCTATTGAACACTAGGAAGCTATGGACAACAGTTTACTCCTGGTGTCAGATCACTCAATATCACGTATTTTACAACCCCACCGATAGAGATCAAACTCAGCAACCATATTATAATCAAATCTTATTTTATTAACTCTCAGTTTGGTCGTTTTTCAGTTCACATAATTTCATTGTCTAGTTAGAAACTACTTGATGATTATATACATATATATACAATTTAATAATTGAATTCAGAAATCGATCGAAGTTAGACCACCATTAGAAACCTGGAATTACTGGACGGCCGTTTCATCCAACTGTTGGACACCTAAGTAGAGCGTGCACCAACGGTTCTGTGAGTGGGACTCGCATTCAAAACTCTAGGTTTCGCGCGTACACCACTAACGACCAAACCATTCAGGTGGTCTCCAACCGTGTCATTGTCTCACCTCAATCGATGCATGATCCATCCATCACCGAAGGTTACTGAATAGAAACAAATCAGGCCAATGCACAACGTATGGTTCAATAATCATAGTCACTCACATTCAATTGACTTATTACAACAAGAAATATGATTATAAGGAAACCAAACAGAGTTATTCCAGTTTGTAATATCATAGAACTTGGGGAATCTCTCCACTTTGGATGAAATTGTTTCACAATAACTGTGATGTTGACTAGTGTAAGTGAAACTATTCCAAATATTGCTATCATGAACTGAATACTTCTTGAAGATATTGGAACTTTTTGATCATTTCTGTTTTTTTCAGACTAGAGAAAAACAATACCATTGAAATATTTAATCACCATATAGTGAACATTTTGAAAACTACATTTTAAAGCAACAAATATCATCAAAAGGATCGGAAGACAGTTAATTCATTTCTGAAGGCCTAAAACGTCCCAGTTTTGGTTTTAAGTACTGAAACTGACCGGTCTCTTTTCGGCACATGTGCATCCTATGCAAATTACTGAGTTATTGCCATTATTCAATTTTTCCCTTATATCTGGCAGTCAATAAAAATGAAGCGGGGATTATTATTTACACTAACGTAATCCATGATGGAGGGAGCGCTTCGTTATCTGTCGTTTTTTCTGGCTTACATAAAAATCAAAAAGCTTTCTTCAACGAAAATATCACTCTGTCATGCTACGGACGTGTCAAGTGTAGAGCATTCAGTCATGATAGAAGAAAAATGACAACATAGCAAAAGTCATATCGCCAAATAATCCCATAATATAAATTAGTCCAATATATCTACAATTGAGTGACTTAATAAATCAAAACGTAACCGTTATCGCTGACTACACACATTCAGATGAATTGACAACATAGTGTTTATCCCCAGAACATTAAACCGACTCTGCTTTAGATTTTCTTTCATTGCCAGGCCATGAATTAAAGTAGATTTTTTCACACCTTTTCCCCTGCTCTCCACAAACCTGTCGTCGAATAATATCGATAGTTCTAAAGAAGATTTTATAGGTTATCATTGTTTTAATGTTGACATAAAAGCCAATAATTTGTGTGACGACGAACATTTAGATAACGATAAGTCCGACTAGTCACGCTATTACTACTTCAGATTCATGCTGTTTCCAGTAACGTTTCCGTCGCTGGAATTGCTCAGTCATAGAGTAAGAAACTTTAAGATGGTAATATTTTGTCATTCATGTCAGAATGGGAAACCGTACATTAGGATTATGTGCTGTAGAATTGGTCGTACGGCTTCCAGAAGAAATCCTAATCGTTCCCAAGGAACGAGGTAAGTGTAACAATTTTAAAAGGCTGTTTCTCCTAATGCTTCATCAAAATGCGGTTGTCCACGATTTACATTTTCAAAGGAGACAATTGGATGTCGTGCTTTACTTTGGGAAAACGAGAACCACAACCATAAATGAAATTCATTGGTTTATCACAATAGATCATGGATTCCATGGATGATCATAATGAATTAGTGATTTTGAAATTAAATCATCCAAAAACTATGTAATTGGATTCAGAAAAAATCGTGTTTGAGTAACTTGGAATTTAGAGAGTAATCACTAGTGATAATCTCAAAAACCATCTCTTATGGTAAATTGCATACATATTTCATTATAACAAATTACAATACTATTTAACCAAGTCATTTTCTTGTACACTTGTCTTTGTACGATTTATTAATATTGTAACCGCTTCTATGCTATTATAAACCCATGTGACTGGTCTTAACAATTGGACAGACTTTAATAACTCAGATAGTGTATTACTACTGTGTCAATTCTACCATCCTTGTAATTTTATCCTATCTATAGAATATTGTGAACTTCAGTATATATACCTCTTATATTCGTGTTCTTGTAATCTTACGCTAATACATCTCATATATGCTTCCGTGTGTGTGTGCTTATACACTTATTGTCTTTATCCAATGTCTATCTCTTTGTTTCCCTATGTATTATTTATTTCGGATTAGATTATAACTTGTTATGAATAATATTTTTAGTAGGTATAGCTGACTTCTATAATCCTTATCGAGGAGAATGTATGAAATATAGACAACCGAAACACTCCTATTCGATTTTGTTTTCGTCTATATTGTTATTAAAGAGATTTGTCAACGGAGTAAATACGATTTATGTGGAATCTTCATTTGATCTACATCATAAAGATTGTTCACTGAAGTTCTTTGAAATCTTATTGAAATACACTTCCCTTCATAATGTAGGCAAAGTAAAACTGTGATCAAATTTATCTTTTATATTTCAATATACAATCAATTTCGGGTAACTAGTTTATAATTGACTATGTAATATAGTCAGCCAAATTTATTCAAACATTCTTATGAAAATCTACTAATTATATCTTTAATAAACACTATAAAAAACTTCAACCAGAATAATGTATTTATAAATTGTGCGTTGCCAGTGTGCTTTTGACAAGGTTTATAAAATGATTTTATTTCTTCTTTATATGATAAATACATTATGACAAACAATCTTTAATAACCAGTTATCGTTTGAATTAGATGGTTAATCTTACTCTATTTAAATTGAATGGAGTCATATATCTTTTACTTATTATAATGAATGAATATTTCACATGTTTTATAATCTTTTCAATGGTTGAGATCATTAGTCATTTGAAGCTATATCACCATGGAAAACCTGGAAACACTGGACGGCCGTTTCGTGCTTCCAGGTTTTCCATGGTGATATAGCTTCAAATGACTCATGATCTCAGCCATTGAAATTACTATAATATTCACAAAAACCCTTATGATATAATCTTTTCGCTTGTTATTTATTTACATGGTGAAATTATGTAATCAATTGTTTATTTGTAACTATACGTATCTGGTATTTTGACAAGCATATAAGAAATATCAAGTGTGAGACAGTTATTTACAGTAGGTAATGAATGAAGCTTGTGACATATTACATATTGATTAGAGTTAGGCATGTATACCGTTGGATGCTCACTTAATGGTTTAAAGGTTAATCATACGTGCGTGAAATTGAAAGTTGTGGGTTCGACTCCTTATGGTAAAGTTGTAGATATGCACTGCTGAGTAACCTTATACTCAAATGAAACAGAAATGCAGTTCACAATTGATTGATCACTGGGTGGTGATCAATGTCATGCTTGTCTAGTCCTTATTAGTGCAGATCGAATGCTATCGATCGTGTTGCAATGTGGCCACAAGTCTAGGTGACTCGACACTGCGGGCACTATGTATTGAGATTTAGATGGTGGTTGGAGGTAGTCTCGGATAGCTCAGTGGTAATGTCTCTGACTGTGAAGCTGGGTGACACGAGATCGAATCCGCCAGGGAGCACCAGTTCCCTCAAGATTACAGGTACACCTTGCTGACGAGTGCCAAATAGCACGAAACCCGGGTCCAGGGTTTCCTGTTGACTACCTCCAACCACCATCTAAATCTCAATACATAGAAATGCAGTTCTTCCAGGTTTGTAAAAGTAGTCTAGCTAAAATTTGCTAGTTACTTAGACTATCAAAATTCTATCATATCTACCGATCCTTTTATACTAATATATAAAAGATGTTCTTGATTACAGATAAATTAATGAATGAACTTGTTAAGAGAAGAACTCTTTCATTAAACTATATTAAAAGTTAATTATCAAGTAAACATTGATAAATTGTTTTATAATATTTCAAAATTTTAATATTAGATTATAACACATTTGAAGATTTTAAAGGAAGTTTAATTCATTATTTCTGAATATGAAATGTATAGTTTAAAAAAGCAACTGATCATTTATTGGGTTATGTATTGTAGATTTATACAGAATAATCAAGTTCAGTGGATAATATGAGTTAGATAATTTGTATCATATGACTTATTCTCTGTTAGTTGATTATACATATGTATGAGGGTTGTGGAGATTGTTGAATGTTATCGAGATTGCAAAATGACCTAAGTTAGAAAACTAGTGAAAACCTGAAAACTTTAGACAGTTGTTTCGCCCTTGTTTGAGACTCTTCATATGTATATCCACGACCTCACCATTGAGGGTTGACCCTAGAACTTTCGGCCTGAGAAAGGTGTCCACAATAGACAATGAATTATGATCTGCTAGTATCATAGAATGATTAAAGTTGGACATGTATACCATTAGAGCCGAACTCAGTGGTCTAGAGTTTAAGTGTTTTGGAACTGGTGGGTTTGTGAATATGTAATGTTCAGGATTCCCATACTATGACAAAAAAGTTGTCCACTACTTTCAGATTTACAATGAATGTTTAACTTAGATTCCTACAATTGAAGAACATATGGAATTCGAAACAACTTTCAACCAATATCAAAGTCAGAATCTTCAATACGAACTTCAAGGTAGTTCTCCTGTACGGAGCTGAAACTTGGACAACTACTACAACCATCATCAAACATGTACAAGTATTTATAAATAGTTGTCTACACAAGATACTCAACACTGACTGGTCGGATACCATCAGTAACAGCCTACTGTGGGAGAGAACAGACCAGCTTCCAAATGAAGAAGAAATTAGGAAAAGACGATGGAAATGAATAGGGCATACATTAAGCAAACCATCAAACTGCATCACGAGGCAAGCCCCAACTTGGAAACCTGAAGGGAAACGGAAAAGAGGAAAGCCAAAGAACACATTACGTCAGATAATAGAAGCAGATATGAAAAGGATGAATAAGAACTGGAAGGAGCTGGAAAGGATTGCTTGGGACAGGGTTGGATGGAGAATGCTGATGAACTGGTAGCTTATGCTCTTTCACAAGGAGTAACATGCGTAAGTAAGTTTAACTTAGATCTATTCATGATTTTGATTAACTTTATCTTAATTTTGATTATTCATAATAAATAAGCTTCAAAATAGATAGAATATTATACTTGAAATGATCAACTATAAATAAGTGAATAAATCAACTATGATTTATATGTGAATCAACAATTAAAATGTACAAATAATTCATAACATTCAAATATCTTCAATTAGCTTACCATTTTGTAAAAAGTTCACAATAGTTGTTAACTGTTTATTGTATACAACTTTAAAGTTTGATATAGTAATAATTATGATAACCTTTGAGTTAACTATAAAAACAAAAATAGATGAAAAACTTAAAAATAAAAACAAACAAAACAATTTCCAAGTGTTGTAATCATGATAGTTCTATTGATAATGGTACTTGAATTGATTAAGATAAGACTTTATAATTAATATAAATTACATAATTATACTTTGTTCCATATTCAATGTATTCTATGTATTATAGTAATAATAATAATAGATTCTGTGATGAGATACCAAAACAATGTTGTTATTTAATATCAAATGGGTTTTGTGGATATTATAGTAATTTCAATGGTTAAGATGATGAGTCACTTGAAACTAGACAACCATGGAAAACCTGGAAGCACTGAACGGTCGTTTCGTCCCATTGTAGAACTCCTCAACAGTGCTCATTCATGACCTCGCCCCTTGCGAGATTCGAATACAGGATCTACTGGTTTCGCGCACGAGTACCTAACCACTAAACCGTTGAGCCGGTATCCAACGGTGTTAATGTCTAAATTCAACTAATCCACGAAACTGAACGACACATCCACCATTGTCTTCAGCGAGTTACTATCTCACAACAGACCTGGTTGAACTCCACTAGTCACTACTTCTCACTAAAACTCCAAAATATACCTCGTGAAGCAAGTCATTAGTGAGCATATGTTGATTATTATTGTTGTTTAATAACAAAAAGTTCATTTAAAATTTGAAATAATTAGTCCTTTTGATAAATTTCGATAGTGTAATAAGAAGATGAAAATTATATGGAACTATGTGATATATTAACCTCTTTATTGTATATAAAAACCGTTTAAATCCATTTGGTGTTGTTTTACTTGTATCTTACCTTTGTTATTTAGGACTGTAATTGATCAGTCTCTTATTGGTATATGTGCATCCTGTAAGGATTGCCTCGATATAGTTTCAATTCACAAGCTTTTTAAGCAAAGATAGATAGTGGCTAGCAGTGGAATTCAGGACGTGCGTTTCGTCCTACCCGAAACTCGTCAGCTAGATGTGCCTGCATCTCCGAGTTGATGTTCACCCCGGGACTCAAACCTAGTACCATTCTCTCTAAACACCATCGCGTTATCTACTTAGCTACTGAGTCCTGATTACCACCTACAATTTTAATAGTGTAATAAAATGATGAAGACTATACAGAACTATGTGTTATGTTAACCTCTTCATTGTATATAAAAAACAGTTAGTTCTCATTTTGAATCTACCCTGGTAATATTAGTTTATCATTCAGTATGTTGAGTTTTATATTGTTTTTCATATGATTTACTTAATTATCTTGATTTCTTTTTACCCTCCATTTTTAGTTCAGTTGACCTTTTATTTTTAAATTCTGAACAAGTAACTGTATGATAAGATTGTTCGAAAAGTATTGCTCTAATATTTCACTTAATTCTAAGAATCTTCGTCAGTTAAAATTGTTTATTGTGACTTTTTTGAGTCAAAGATGAAAATAGGCTGAAAAATATTTTCTTTTTTCCAAAAATTCAAATCTTTGAAGATGGATTGAACAATATAAGTTTTGATGGATTTGACCTAGAAATAATTAGTTGGACAATCTAAATAGTATTGTGGTATGTGTTACTTATGTAGACAAACATAAGTAGTATGCAACATCAATCGGAAATGGAAAAGTTTGCGGCAGAAGGCAAAGAAGATTGAAGTGAAGAAAACAAAAAAGGAAATAGAAAGGGAATGTGAATTGGAAGAATCATACAGAATGTGAAAGACAGTTGGTGAAAGATTTATAAATGAAGTATTTAATGTATGACTCTCATATTTTACGAAGATATCTTGTTATTTTGTATTAAACAAACTGGTTGTATCCAGCTATGTTCTCATTCATTGGAGTACTTGTTGTTATAGAAACATGTAACGGTTGTCTAGAAAAATACCTAACACCTAAGTTATTTATTTATCAATTCAGTAACAATATAATTATGCTGTGTTGGACAGGACAGGATTTTCTACTGATTAGTCGTTAAGTACTGTAGAACACTGTCTATAACTTAGTTTTAGTAAATTTGGACAGATCATTTGTAAAGCGAACGGTACCAGGTTTGAGTCACGGAGTGAACGTCAACTCTGGCTTGCAGGTTCGTTCGGTTAATGAGTAGAACAAAACACGTTTCCTGGAATCCTGGTGAGTCGTCAAAAGAAATGACAACATTTCAATGAGAAAATCTCTACTAAGGTCATACTGAGCAACTAGGTAAAGAGGCACACTCTTTCATGAAGTGTGTTTATCAAAGCCAACTGCATCAGTATACACTTACATACTGATTCAAATTAGACTATCATCAATAATTGGGTTAATCGATCACGTTCAAATCAAGCACCCAATTTCATTTCAAACGTTTTTTTACGAAGTCATTTCTAATACTTTTATATTGCATAAACTTGGGTGCTTGTTTTCTACTGGGATATGGAACATGTTAGAAGTTCCGTAATTGAACATTTAGTCGACTGTATTCATTCTTCTGATTCACAGTTTGATCTTAAGGTTGTATGTACGATTCGTTCAAATCTACCCAGATTTCCTCGTACTCAACTCCTAAAAATAGCCTAACTTCTTATTATCCATGAGCTCAAGCCAAAACTGCTTACATAAGAAGTACGTCTCATCGTTATCATTACCTTGGTCTTAATTTATTGTTATTATTGCATTTACCACTTTACCTATGTCTCAAATTCTCATGATTTTATTCATAGTTGTTCATGATATCACTTCATTTATTTTTTACACCTCTATTACTTTTAATTATTGTAACAAAAACATCTTAATGATCTTTCTGCATTCACATTCACATTTGTTACCACCTTATTAAGTCTATCGTTATTACTCATATTATGAAATCTGGTATTATAATCTTTCGATTGCATCACCATGGTTATTCCTTGTTCAGATGTCCTTACGGAGCTAGTACCTCAATCTTCTTCTGCCAGACATTCTACGTTCGACTGGTGCTATGTATATATATATATCATTCATTTTGACCTTTTTTACGGGATGAAATAAATCCATATCATCGATCTTTTTTTCTTACTACGTGACGTTGGATTCGAAGCTTCAGTACCAGAAACAAGTCAGATAACCATTTTGCAGATATAACCGTGACATACATAACAGAACTAATGAGTGAATAGATTTTAAATGTCTTCATATTACAGTGTAATGTTTGTAGATATATTAAAATGTATTTTAACCAGTAATTTTTTATACATAATATAGCATCATTATCTCTCTCATTTAAGTGAAATTATTACCCCTTGTTTTTTTCTTAAACTGCTTACTGATGCGTTGACAAAAACATGAAATTGTTGTTATATTTCAAATCTCAGCCTACGATCCAATATTAAGCAATTATTCATGATAGGTTCTGGGTTCGGATCCCGTGAGCGGGATCGTAGATGCACACTGTGGAGGATTCCCATACCAGGACGAAATGGCCATTCAGTGCTTCCAGATTTACCATGGTAGTCTGGCTTTAATTGACCCATGAATTCAACTATTAAAATTACTACAATATCCACAAAATCCTTTTCTAATTATTCATGATTTTGAAAAGAACAAAAATGATTAACAGAAAACTAACTATTGTAATTTGTTCCCAGTTTATTACTTACAGCTTTTCATATTCACAATCACTTTTGTGTTGCTTGGGTGTGGTTGCAGTTTTTCATTGTATGTTACGATGTGGTCTGGTATGTTTGAATGATGACCCACATTTGCTTGAAATATAAAAACAATGGTGTTGCATGCTGGCTTCTCTTTGGATTCAGGACCAGGAGTAGGAAAAAGCTTGGGAATGACAGACCAACAGGAGATTATCTTACACAAGCTCAAGGCTAATGGCCATGGTTTTACGTATAATTGATTAGGTCTAAGACACTAGGCCATAAAAGAGATCATAGACGTGTCATAATAGATTTTTGTTTGGTAACTATGATATGTGGTATCATTCAGCATCGCAAGCCACCACAATCATTGATATAAGACACATAGTCGGACAGAATAGATGGAATTATGATAAACTGTGATATGTAGGTGTTATTTACAAGGGTTCTGAAGCTAAAAATATATATACTGAAGGAATGGTGTTCATTTTTCATGAAAGAGCATACAAGTTGAGTTTAATATCTGGAGGTATTTAAAAGGTTAAAGGTTAACTAACGGTATAACAGCAAAATATAATTAAGATTAGAAAACAGGCGGTAAGTCTAAGGACAGTAGCAAATTATGAGAATAATCTATACAATCAAATATGAGATTAAGATAGCAGGTTAATTTATAGGATGCATAGTTAGATATAAAATAAACTGGTCTTGGGTTCGGTTCAATAGTAATAAAATACAGAACAATAAGGTGAAAGTACCCAGATCTTTATTTACTGCAAGCTTTCTACTCGGTAATGTAGCTGCCACAGTATTATATAACAGTTTATCTCAAATTCGTGTAAATTTAATGAGAATGGCTCATTTCCATTGAAATATCCAACTTAAAAATATTGCGAGATGCACACAGAAATAGGATTTTTAAATTACACTATTTTTAATATTTAAGTAGTATGACATATTTAACAAAACTATTTCCTCAAATAGATGGCGGCTAACATGGAACCCAAGACTAGCGTTTCGCCCTATCTGTGCTCTTCAACCATGTGTACCTAAAAACCCAGAATTAGTGTTCACTCATGGACTGGAATCACGTATTTCTCACTTGAAACACTGTCATTTTATCCAATAGGCTACTGTATATTGATAGCCACTGGCTTATGAAATTGATAGGATTTTATTTCACATGTATTGTTTGAACTTTCCATTGAGTTTTAGGACTGCACAAGCCAGTAGCTATATAGACTCGGTCTCTAAGTGGATAAATCGGTGGCGTTTGAAGCGAATAATCCTAAGTTTGAGTCTTGGAGTGAATATTAACTCTGTGTTCCTAGGTACATCCAGTCGACAAGTCCCAAATAGAACGAAACGCGCTTCCTGGATTCCACTGCTAGTCATCATTCATCTCTACTTATAATAATTATAACTTGCTGGTAATATTGAGGCAATCCTGACAGGATGCACATTTGCCGAAAGATCCTGAT